ATTTCTTAATTTAGATCTCGTTGTTACTCCCTGATTTAGATCTGTTAAGAGGTTATCCAGGGGATGTGATCGATGATGTTTCCATCCTCTTGGAGCGTTGGTTTGATCCACAAACTCGTATAGGGTATCTGGACCTGGACCAGCTGGTTCTTCACTTGGACTAGTCGTGGTCAGTCCGGGTCCTTCTTCAGTTCTAGGTTCGTTTTGTTCATTGTCCAGTGATTCCTCAGTTTGGTCATGGCTTGTTTCAATGTTTTCATGGGAGTGATTTCCTTTGCGGAGGATTCCTATGTCTCCTTCATCATCTTGCCTCGGCTTTAATGAAAGGGCTTCATCAAAGATTATATGGATGCTTTCTTCCACACATTGAGTTCGTTTATTTAGAACTTTGTAAGCCTTGCTGTGAGTGGAATATCCGAGAAAGATTGCCTCGTCACTTCTTGCATCGAATTTGTCAATATTGTCCTTCCCATTATTGTGGACGAAACATTTGCATCCAAATGTTCTTAGATGACTGATGTTTGGTTTTCTTCCTTTGAGTAGTTCGTAGGGTGTCTTTCCTAGGAGTGGGCGGATCATAGCTCGGTTAATTATGTAGCACGCTGTGTTAAGTGCTTCTGCCCAGAAGTTTCTTGCCAGACCACTAGAAATCAGCATTGTTCTAGTCATATCCTCCAGTGTCCTATTCTTCCGTTCTACTACCCCATTTTGTTGAGGAGTTCTAGGAGCGGAGAAGTTGTGGTCTATGCCTCGTTCTTTGCAGAATTCCTCAAATAGTGAGTTGTCAAACTCGGTTCCATGATGCTCAATTTTCCTTACAAAAACAACAAACTCATTAAACATATCTTTCTTACTTGCAAGAAAGATAGTCCATGTAAATCGTGAAAAGTCATCAACAATAACTAACACATATTCTTTGTTTCCCCGACTTCGGACTGACATTGGACCACACAAATCCATATGAATTAGTTCAATGGGCTTGCTTGTGCTCACAAAATTCTTTGTCTTAAAAGATGATCGAGATTGTTTTCCGGTGGCACAGGCAGAGCAAATATGATCAAGGGAATATTTGATTTTAGGTAGCCTGACTACCAATTCATTATTTTTGAGTTTATTGATTAACGAAAAGCTAGCGTGGCCCAATCTTTTATGCCAGAGTAGGGGATCATTGTCAATAACGCTTAGGCAGGTTAAACTTATACTTGACAATAAATTGAGATCAACTTTATATGTATTTTCAAGTCTCTTGCCTTCTAGTATGACTTGCTGAGATTCGTTATTGACAATGCGGCATACATTATGATCAAAAACTACACTGTTACCTCGATCGCAAAACTGAGAAATGCTAAGCAGATTAAACTTTAGACCCTTGACTAGGAAAACATTGTCTATTGCATGGTCGGGTGACTTTCCAATTTTCCCCACAGCAATGATTTCTCCTTTGCTGTTGTCTCCAAATGTCACCTTTCCACCACTAAATGGCCGTAGTGAGAGGAACAAAGATTTATCTCCGGTCATGTGTTTAGAACAACCACTGTCAAGGAACCAGTGATTGTTCCCCCTCACTCGGCGCTGTTCCAGGATTAAGGTTTAGTGCGTGGAACCCAAACCTACTTGGGTTCCATTTTATATTGGTTTGAGGAATATTTACTGAAATTAAGGCTTCTCTCTAAGGCCTGTTGTCGAGAGTGACATTGATACATAAGATGTCCGTCTTTGCCACAATATCCGCAAATCCGTCTGTCATATGTATCAACATATTTGGTTTTCCGATTTCCGAAATGATCTTTGCCCCTTTTATAAAATTCTCGGTTAGGTGTTTGACCATAACCTGTTTTATGCCTTTGAACCAGCTTATCGAACCAGGTTGGTCCAGTTCTAGGTTGTCTATGGTACGGTCTAGAACTGGTTTGTTCTCTAGTTCTATTACCATAAAAGGGCTGGTTCTGAAAACTCGGTTTTTGATTTGTTTGAGAATTTCTTGGAATGTATCCGAGACCAGCAGTCTCGTTTTCCTTTCTTTTGTACCGAGAGGGTCCAGTTCTAGAATGCTGTCTAGACCTGGTTCTTACCTTGGTACTATATGGTTGGTATTCCGGTTTGTTTTTAAAATCTTGTCTCTCGTCCTCAAGGCGATTGAGATGATTTATGAGCAAGGCAATGTCCGGAATTTTTCTTAGAAGTTTTTCTTCGTCATTAACTTGTTTATTCATATTATCGAGCTTGAGTGAGCAAATGAGGTTATCTTGTTCCAAAACCACTTCACTATACTTGAGCCTTTCATCTATTAACTCTCCCACTTTTGTTTCCAGCCTTATCTTGGCTCTAGTGGCTTCCTCGAGTTTAGACTCAAGTTCGGTGATTTGTGATTTAAGATTATCATTTTCAGAAAGACTTTGATTTAGTTCGATTGTTAATCTTTTGAAAATCTTTCGGACCTTGCCTTTAGAGAGGGAATCAAATTTAGAAAGAAAGCTCTCCAAATTTACCTCGAAATTCTCTTGGTCGGATTCTACATCGGAATTAGCCATGAGGCACAATCCAGCATGATTTAGGCCCTTTTCTTCTTCTTCTTCTTCTTCTTCATCATCGGATGAGTCTCCCCAGGCTGCCATCATTGCCTTTTTGAGGTCTCTGTTGAATCCTTTATCTTCACCGGACCTCCGATGGGAACTGGTCTTGTTCTTGTCGTAGGCTCTATCATTTTTCTTTTGAGGACAATCTTTTGCCATGTGCTCAAAGGAACCACAAACGAAACAACCTTGGTTATTAAAAGATTGGAAACCCTTTTTACCTTGTTTATTTCGATTGCCTTTGAATTTTCGGTACATCTTTCCGAATGGCTTGGCGAACATGCTCATTTCATCTTCCGATTCACTTCCGGATTCTTCTTCTTCTTCTCGAGCCTTGAGAGCTATTCCTCGCTCTTTTCTCACATTTTCTGTATCTTGTTCTTCTTGTAGGCCTAGCTCATATGTCATGAGTGAGCCGGTCAAGTCTTCTAGCGTCATGGTAGAGAGATCTTTAGCTTCTTCTATTGCTGTAGTTTTAGGCTTCCATGCGGATGGCAAGCTTCTCATAACTTTTCTCACCTGATCTTCTACAGTAATATCTTTTCCAAGTGCTGAGAGCTCATTGATAATATTAGTAAAACGTTTAATCATATCCTTAATTGATTCTTTAGGCTTCATCACGAATAATTCGTAATTACGCATAAATATGTCAATTTTGGATCTTTTTACACGCGAGGTACCCTCATGCGTAATCTCAAGTAAATCCCACATTTGTTTTGCGGATTTGCATCCAAGAACACGGTTGTGCTCAGCCGGACCAAGTCCACAAATCAAATATTTCAATGCTTGAGCATTATGCTCGAGTTTACAATAATCATCAGAGGTATATTCAGATTTGGGTTTAGGGATAACCTTACCTTCGGCATCTTCTTTAGTAATGATGTTATCGCCTACTTCAATTACGTTCCATACCTGGTAGTTCTCAGCCTTGATGAAGTTCTCCATTCGAATCTTCCAGAATTGATAAAATTTGCCGTTGAACAACGGTGGTTGTTGAGTCGAGTATCCTTCCTCCAATCGTTCAATCGTATTCATGCTGCCGGATCTCTTCCCAAGGTTTTAACCTTTCTGTGGTGAAGACCGGCTCTGATACCAATTGATGAAACGGTTAGCAACACAAGAGGGGGGGGGGGGGGGGGGGGTGAATTGTGTGTGTGTGTGGAACCGTGACAGTTTTTCGCATAGTTCTAGTGTGGGGTTCAGGGATTTACGAAATAATAAAGTGCACAAGGATTTAACGAGGAAAAATCCCTTGGCTCAAAGGGATTAAAAAACCTCGACCTCCCTCGGAGGAATTTGAACAACTTCACTAAAAAGCCTTTGAATGATTACAAGAGAAACTCTCCTAGTGTACCCTTGAGCCACCCCAACTCTATCCTCTCTAGGAAGAGTTATGCTTCTCTACCTTGTGGGTAGAGAGCCTCTCAGCTTTACAACAAAGCTCTCACAACACACTAACTGACCCGAGGATGCTACACTTAGTCAATCCTCAAAAAACCCAATTACAATATGAAGAAAAGAAAAGGAAACTCTGTTTGGAACTCCGTGAGCAGGTTCAGGTGCCTTTGACTTAGTAGATATTCTTGTGTATATTTCTCAATAGAAGTTTGGTCAAGCACACCCTTTCGTCTGGTCTTTAGTCCAATATATATAGCATCCGTAGCCTCTTCTTTCCTTTTATTCAAAGATCTTCCGGCTCACAAATATGGTGATCCTCGGTCAACCATATATATATGGAAGTAAGTGGATACGTGCATACTATGAGTAAATCACTAAATAACAAAACAGATATGGAGAATATTACGTATTGCAATGAATATATATATCATCACATATAAGGAGAATATTTTATTCTCTTAATATAAGCATCCAACGGACATTATGTAGCAACAACATTTTTATACAATCAATGATTAGTTCTCTTTAACAAGTTTGAATATGTAACGATCATATAAGTAAGATATTCAAATAAGGTGCTACAGATCATGCAAGCCAAGATACTTTCCAAAATTTATCTTTTAATATAATGACTTTTTAACATTAAGTGATAAGGAAATATTTACTTAGTGGATCCAAATATGCTACGGTCAATTTATGCAGGATATTTATGTAGCATAAACAATGATTCTTTCCATAAGCTATAAAGCTATATAGGCCAACTCATAAAGGTGAGTGCTTAGTCATACATGGAAAGATATTTAAATTGTGTCACGTACATTAAGAATATGCATGATCAATCTAGGCACGTAGATTAGGTATTATCATGCAGGCACATATTAATTTATTCATTATGCACAACAATCAGTCATATAGATCAGAACTAAGTATAGTTCTAATTTTCGTTCCTAATAGAATTGAGAACAGTTCTGTCCGCCATTCCACCTACATGGTTAGTCATCAACAAAACAACATATTCAACATGGAAGATGACTTAATTGAATAGTATATTTCAAGAGACATAAAAATGCGCGCAATTTTCTTAAGAAACATGCACAAAGACGTTTATTTCTTTCTAACTGTTCGTTCATACGATATGCAAGTAAGCCTAAACATGATTCATCTAAATATGCCGGGCTGGCCCTTTGTATACTACCAATGCAACTCTATATATAATCGTAAGCACGCAATTGTTGGCGGCGGCGGCCTTTAATTGATAATTAATTGATTCGGGCGGCGTCGTTGTCGGGTTGATGATGGAGCTCAATATCATCCTCCTCCTCTGTAATTACTCTAACTCTGCTTTTGTAATGGTATCCTCGAGCAACGTACACAAAATACACCAAATTCACAACCCCCAAAGCTGCGATCACCAAGTAGTAGTACTCCAGCCTCCCCTCGTTAATGTCTTTAGCCAGCCAACCGGAGGTTCTGTGCACAACGCTCACCATGAGCACGCTCAAGTAACCGGCTCCGGCGCCGGTGACCGAGTACAGCGAGTTGGCCACGCTGCTCATGCCGTCGGGGAACTCCTTGTTGAAGAACTCGATCTGGCCGATGATGTTGAAAGCCTCGGCGAAGCCCATGAGGATGAGCTGGGGGGCGAGCCACATGACTGTGAGGGGCGCCACGCCGCCGTGCGCAACCGCTGACGCCCTTCTCTTCCGCTCCATCGCTCCGGACAGGAGCATGCCGGCGATGGAGAAGACGATCCCGGTCCCGATCCTCTGCAGCATGGTGATCCCGCCCTCGAGCCCGGTCCTCTTCCGGACCTCGGGCACGATGAGGCGGTCGTAGACCGGGATCCATAGCGCGAGGGTGATCATGGAGACGACGAAGAGGGAGCCGGCGGGGATCTGGAACTTGGGGCCGATGTGGCGGTCCATTTTCAGAGCCTGCGACAAGGTGAAGGTGCCCTGCTGCGCAACGGCTACCAAAGGTATGATTCCGGCAGCCCATATAGGGATGATTCTTACCAGGCATTTCACTTCTTCCGTTTGATGGATGCTTACTATCCGCCATCCACTACTCGCTGTTCCATCTTCCTTTATGTCTCCGTCTCTTATCACTGCCGCTTTGTTTAAAATCCTGATCCAATACCACACCATTACCACTTGTATATGCATGCTACGTACTCCCCTTCTCTTTTCTTTTAGTCATATAACGTACATACCTCTACGTGTTCATTTTCTCTTTTAGTTATACTTACTTGTATAAAGTTTATTTTAAAATTTTGAAAAATATCCTTACATTCCTCTCATTTTAAAATCTGATTTTTTTAATACTTTTTACTAATACTCGTTAAGAAGTAAAAAATATTTATGTTTAAACTTGTACGTTAACAAACGTAAAAAATCGAAAGCAGGGATTTGTATATATAATACTTCCTATATATGTCTCTGTTTACAAAGTTGAAATCATCCATACATTCTAAGGAGTTAGGACCATGTTTATAAACTCATGTGGTCTGATTACTGACTCACTGGTGTATTGTATAACTAACTGGCAAAGACTAGCTTGTCTAATCTAGTCGGTCAAAGCATTTTGTTTTTTTCTTACTACGTATATTTTGAAGCAAAAAAATCGTTTGTACTCACTTTTGTGCTCAACCCTATTTTGCTTGTGCACACAGGTAATTCTTTAAGAACAACGCATCATTTTGTCTATGTTTGTCTGTGTATAGATACAAAATAAGGGGTGAGTACAAATGTATGTACAAAAGTGGGTACAACAAGAAGGACTCATTTTGAAGTACGTACATTGATTACTTCACCGATAAGTAAAATTTCCTAAAGACAACGTCAAATTTCAAAAAAAGGAGTAAATTTGATATGATTTGTTATTAAAAATGTTCTTTCATGTCATCTAATTTAGATGTGTTAAAATTTTATGAAAAATTAAAGTGTAGTGAAAATTGAACTCACGGGGCCTAAAATTCACGACATTTAATTGTTGCATTGGTGTGGTTTGATGGATATTTGTTTTTATTATGAAATAGCTTGATTTGGGATGTAAAAACAATGCATGGGAATTGGGAGGTACAAAATGAAAGGGAAAATTCCCAAAATAGGAGTAAAAAAGATTGAAAATTCCAAAATAGAACTATCATGTTTTTATTCTCAAAGTAGGAGTAGTTACTGCCAAGTTTGAAAAATATTGTCATGTTTAAAGTCTGTTATTGCCAAAACATGGCAGTAATTAGTCTTGTTTTGAGAATAAAAACATATAGTCTTATTTTGGAATATACAAAAGTTTTTAGTTCTATTTTGGGTGATTTCTGAAAAGTCAAGAGTAAATGAGGTGAGATGAATAGAGATGGGAGTAAGAATGAAGCTGACCTGTAGTCTTTGGTTAGGAGAAGCTTTCTCTTAACAGGAAGCGGAGGGTCGTAATAGGCGGCGGCAGCGTCGTGATCGGGGAGTTTAAGTTTGCGTTTATGAAAGGCCGCAACGAGAACTTGAGCGATGGTGGAGAAGATGCTGCCCTGTGGCTTGACGTAGACGTAGATGCGGGTGCCGACGAAGAAGAAGACGATGGCGAAGACCATGAGCGCGGTGGGGATGGCGAAACCCACCGCCCAACTCACCGAGTCCTGGATGTAGACGATGACGGTGAGGGAGAAGATGAGCACCACTGTGAAGGAGGTGTAGTACCAGTTGAAGAAGCTGCTGATCCCTTTCCGCCCCTCCTCTGTCGCCGCATCGAACTGGTCCACGCCGAAGGGGATGCTGCACGGCCGGATCCCGCCGGACCCGATGGCCAGCAGACCCAGCCCGAAGAACAGACACCCCAGCTGTGATTTCGTGGGCCCCTGGCACTCGTGTGATGATTGGACCACGTCGCATTGCGGTGGACGCAGACCTGGAACTAGCGCTATTATGGTCAATGTCGACATCCCCTGCACCAAACCAAACCATACTGCATTATTCCATCAAATTCGAATACACCTTCTCACACATCTATAGTAGAGTGGGACTTACTTCCGTCCCAAATTAAACCACACATAAACATATTATCACTGTCAAATTAATAAATAAAATGTAATCATATCCTTAATAAATGAGTGTGTTTCACTCAAAAGGCAATTTGGGACATAAGAGTATTGTTTTTAGTTTGATGGTAGAGTTTGTTTGATAATACTAAAGTAAATAGAATTAATTTATTTTTTGCTGAAATTGATTGAATTCTGGTTAAATAGGTGGAATCTTCTGAATCATGAAAAATATATGTGAAATATATTTGATTTGTGAAACAAAGAAAAAAATATATGAAAAAAAAGTTAAATTGGTCTTCTACATAAGCATCTCAAGTAAATATAATTGTTATGAACCCAATAATAAAAAAAATCTTTTCTTAATTGTTAGATCTTACAGTTTACTCATTAATAAGAACGTTTTTAATTGAATTAAAATTTCGGGTTTGATTTGGTATGAATTAATATGGTCTATTAGATGTCTGTTTTTATGTGACTTATTGTTATAATTATTAAAGTTTGATCTGATCTGATTTAATCTGGAACTGAAATCAATACAATTAAAAACATTCTATTAAAATAAAAGTAGAAATTCGTAAACCTATAAAGATTTTCTAATTTGGATTAGGAATCTATTTCAAAAGTGAATGCATATTTGAATTTTAGATGTAAAATAAAAAAACAACCAAAAATTTTACTTATTTGGCTAAGCTAAACATATTTACTTGTGAAAATATATATATTTTATGTTGGTTATAATTTTTAATTTCATTTTAATTATTTACTTATTTGAAGCTTACAAAAAAAAGGATGACATCACATCCCTGAGGGCCCCCAACCCCGACCGGACGGTACGTTGGGAGGATGTAAATTGGACTATAATCCCAATATGACAGATAGAGAGTGAGGCTCTGTCCCCGGTACTTGCAGAGGTCATATGCATTTTTAGCATAGTAACCCCTCATCGCAGTTGCCGGAATTCGAACACGGGACCTAACCCTTGTGGCACTCTCTTGCTACCAGTTGAGCTACGTCCACCAGTTTATTTGAAGCTTGCTAATTTATTAATAGGTGTCAAATTAATAAGTAAACTAATTTGCATATTTGTTTCTATTTAATTCGGTGTAGTAAACTAACATATATTAGTTTCCATATCAATAAACGTTATTAGAATTTCACTTTGATAACAAAAAAATTATTTTACTTATTTGAAGCTTACCAAATTAATTAAGGTGGATTTATAAGGATTTTTGTTTCCATATCAATATTCAATCAAAAATAGAATCAAATAAAAACAAAAGGTATAAAAATAAGTAAATAATTGTTATATATAATGACATGGCAGGATTATGTGACACTTTGTATGCTCTTAAAAAGTTCCTCTTTTATACATAGTATATATATTGATTTTGGGGGATCAAAATACTCTTATTTTCATACCGCCTTTGTCCCTTAGAATGTTTTTACTTGAACTGTAATTTGCTGGTCTGGTCTGGTCTGATCTGGTCTGGTCTGGTCTGATATGTATTGGTCTGGTCTGGTCTGGTTTCTTTATATTTTTACAACTACCAAGTCTGATCTGGTCTGGTCTGAACTGAACTGGTCTGGTCTGATATGATCTGGGACGAATTAAAGTCCAAATAAAAACATCCTTAATAAACATATCACTTTCCTTTTTGATTTGTTCCTTAAAAATACCCCTTTTTCCTTATTTGGTACACAAAACGATGCAAAAAAGAGTAAAATAATGTCATTTTCTTTAAGTGTGCAAAAGTCAAAGGGGGCGTTTTTAAATTGGAACGGGGGGATTAAGAAGGAGAAGGGGTAAAAATACGTGATTGCGCCTTATGCAGAAATAAAGAATAGTGGCAATGAACAATCTAAAAAGAAAAATGAAATGGAGGAGTGAGTACATTTTTTTCTCGGAAATATCTGAGTGTATAATGTTTGCTAAAACAGTTCATTATTATCCTTTCATTAGTTGATAATGATCTCTATCCATCCTACAAGTGGATGCAACATTCGTTTTTGTTTCCGCCAGCCAATCAATTTCTTTATCAGTCATTCACGATACTTTCCTAGTCAACTTTCGCTACTCTTTTCAAATCCGCACACTCAAAATGTTAATCATTTTGTAATGCTAACATTTTATACGCCAGTCCAATTATGTACCTGCAAACGTTATTTTATATTTTGCATTTCGCATCATTTTTTGTTAGTGCGGAAAATGATATTCTACATAGAACCAACAACATTTTCCTTGTAATTAATACAGGCAATTTCTACGTATCAAACCTTGTCCTAATCAAATAATGACTAGGGCCAAATGCATGTTACGTGTAATGCCCTCATTTTTATGATTACAGGATCCGAGCATTCACATTATTATTATTGTTACATCCCTCTACTTGCACTATTTTCTTTTTACCAATCTACTCATATTTAGATCGAAAAACATTATTTTTAATGGTAGGCCATTATTAAAAGCTCTTTAATTCATAAATTTATAACTTATGGTTGAATAAATAATACTAGAGTTGAAATAATGTAAAATTAATCATTCAGTTCTCAACTTTGGTTTAACAACTGTATAGAAAATAAAATTACAAACTTTTTTATTGACTGGAGAAAGAGTTATAAGAAATCAATTAAACATAGTTTTGTGGTTGTCAAACAGATATTGCTCTGACCTATGACAAATTAATATTCCGCATGAAAAGTAACATAAGTTACAAAGATACAATTATTATTATAATTGTATCTTGTTATTGTTATTATAATAATAATTATTATTAATACTATTATTATAATTACTCTTATCCTTATCATCATCCTTATTTGTCATTTTGTATGAAATGATTATAGTTTAATTTTGCGTGTTGGACTGTGTAGCAACTAATTAATGTGTAAAAGTGAAGTTACTTGTCTTACTAAATTGACATCTACATAAAAATGATGACCACATTGGTTTTTTTCAGGTAACTTTTCTAGAATTTAAGACGATTACCACTTTAGTTTTTTTTCCCTAAAACTTTCCTTTATTTCATATTAGAACTTTTTAAGTTAGACTTGGTTAAGGATGTGTACGTATTACCTATAAATTCAAAAATTAAACTCATTTTACTCCAGACGTCTTATGTGTTTGACTTCCATAGTTCCATCTCCTTAACATTTGAACCAGTGGAGGTGATATGGTAATAAAAGAACGAGTTTATGTGGTTGATATTGGATTAATAAAGTGAAAAAAATAAGAATGATTTTGAACTACATAAATATTACCAAAATTGGTGTGGAACAATTTTAGCAGGACGAAGGAATACATTAGAAGTCATTGTTATATCGTTAAAAGATTCTTAAATATTTAAAACTGTATGAGATTTCATTTAACAAATATTATAAAATAGTTACATATTATATCAATATTAAAAACCACCCTGATCACTTCAAACTGGTTAAGAAGAGTTAATTATCAAAATAGGACTAAAAGTCATTCACTTTTCACAAATAGGACCAAAAAATAAACTATGTTTGCATAGGACTAATTATGTGTACCTTGGACAATTATACCCTTATAGCTATTAAAATGTTTTAATTCCTAATAAAATAATAAAAAATAATAAAAAATCGTAAAAAATACTAAAAAATTAAGAAAAACATTTCGATATTAAAAATTTAATTATTATTTTTTTTCAAAAAATTAAAAAAATTTAAAAAATTAAAAAAAAAATTAAAAAAAAATAAAAACTCAAAAAAAAAAATCGCCGCCGCCTCTGCCGCCTCAGCACCACCACCTCCAGTCACCAGGGGAAAAAATGCCAAGTTCATTACGAATGCCATATTTATGGCAGAAAAAATGAAAATGTTGGCATTCGAAAAGAGAAATATGCCACTTTTTTGGCATTTTCAGAAAAAAATGGCATTTTTTTCATCGGCCGGAGGTGGTGGTGATGGGAGGTAGTACAGGCGGTGGGAAAGGCATCCATATTTTTTTAAATTTTTTTTACGGAGTTTTACTATTTTTTATGAATTTTTTTAAAAATAAAATCATTTTTTAAAAAAAAGGTTTTTGAATTTTTTATTTTATAAAAATTTTATAAATTTTTTAATTATATTTCTACGAATTTTTGAATTTTTCCCGAATTTATTATGAATTAAACATTTAATTATGGCTTTTGACTATTTTTAATTCATATTTAATGGAAGGGTAAGAATGGAATGCAAAAATAGGTATGTTTCCAATAGGACTCATATGGTCCTATTTTGGAATAAAAACATAGCAAGTCCTATTTTAGGTTTTTGCCATAGTTTTAGTCCTATTTGAACTAATTTCTATGGTTAAGAATTGACTCTATCTAACCGAATTGACTAGATAAACTCAAGGTGCTTATTTTAGTTTTTCCTAAAAATTTGTTAGCAATTTCAGTATATTCATTCGATTTATCCAATATTAGCATTACCGGATCAATTTCTATTCATCTAATCTGAGTTGGATTGAGCCGAAAAGTAATTATATATTATAGGGTTGACTACATATGGAAAACAATACACTATAAAAAATTGGAAAAAAATTATGGTACCCTTAGCTTCAACTAACTCGGCGCCAACATAGATTCGCCTCTAGCTACTTAGCTTCCTGATTTGCTATATATAATTTCTGAAATTGATTTTGCTAGCTAGTTGAATTTGCACAGTTTTGATTGATTTTCTTAAGAAGATCATCATCCCATTGAATCACAATAAGATGATTTTCTATGTTAAGAAATGTACGTAACTATTGTTGAGTACTAATTTATAAACTTAAATATCGATCAGACAAGCCTGAAGTAACATATTCATTGAATATTCCATTCCCATTTGACACCAGATGACAAACGAGGCAACAGCCCATGACTAACGTACTCTACATCACGTGAATGTCGGGTCGATCTTCATATGAGTTTATATTTTATATTCCGTTTAACCAAATCCAATCTTATTAGACATTCTTAAAAATGGTGGGGCCAGTTTAAAATGTCAAAAGTTCAGATAGTATATAAAAGGGAGAATTCTCAAAATAGGAGGAGTAAACAACTTTATATGAGTATATATCATGTTTTTTATTTCTTGAACATGAGTAAATTTCTGACAAGTTTGGCATTACTAGGCTCTACAACATGTCATTTTCTTCCAAACTTGGCATATTACTCCTATTCAGGGAATAAAAAACATGATACTCCTACTTTGGCAAATTATACCGTATGACCGATATACGGTGAACACCGTATACCAGTATACGAACTTCTTTATTTTTTTCCTTTTGTTTTAAAAAAATAGTAATAACTTTTTTATTTTTGATCCGATTTTTATAAAATTTATATCAACATTTTTTATTTTTCATGATCTTTCAAATTAGACCAATATTGCTTATGTAATTTTAAGAAATTATCGAACTATTATATTAATGAGTATTGGATTATAAGGAAAATCGAACTAAATTTAATAATAATTGTTTAAATCATAATTTATCTTAAAATTGTGTATATAAAAAATTTATTTTATTATGTATTTATACATGTGAGTTACATATTTTTATACGTAAAGTTACATATTTATACACACGAGTTGCATTTGGCATGCCTGAACGCGAGTTACATATTTTTACACATAAAGTTACATATTTTTAGGACGTAAAATTACATATTTATACACGCGAGTTACATATTTATACACACGAGTTGTATTTGACCTGTGTGAACGTGAGTTACATATTTTTACACGTAAAGTTACATATTTTTACACGTAGAGTTACATATTTATACACACGCATTACATTTGGTCTGACTGGACGTGAGTTACATATTTCTACACGTAAAATTACATATTTTACATAGGTTAATGTAATAGTTCGATAATATGTTAAAATTACATAGACAATATTGGTCTCATTTGAAAGATCATAAAAAATAAAAAATGTTGATATAAATTTTATAAAAATCGGATCAAAAATAAAAAAGTTCGTTATTACCATATTTTAAAAAAATAGAAGTAAAGAATAATACCCAATGCCTAAAACGTATGCCGGTATACAGTGCTCACCGTATACCGGTCTTACGGTATAAAAACTGCCCTAATTTAGAATTTTAAAATGTTTTTGCTCCTATTTAGAGCAATTTCTATATATAAAATGATAATGTCTGGAGGACCACGAGACTCAAAAAGTCTCTAAACACCGAACCAAACGTGCTATAAATGGGCCAAAAATCATAGGTTATGTGGCAGTGCACTTTATTTTTTTTCCCTTCGAATTTTCATCATTAGTGTTTAAGGTTTAGGCATATTCATCTTCCTAAAATTTATATTATTATTGTCAAAAATTTTATGTGAGTTATTAGTGTCAATGTTTTTATGGGGAAACCCTAACCATTGTCTCCTCATTTTCTCGTCTTCACTTCTCTCTCTTCAATCTTCTTTGATTTCAATAATGAGAAATGATCTTCTTAATCGGTGCTTTCGGTTCTATTTATTTGTTTCTTTTTCAATGTTGTTTGAAGGTATTATTATTTTCGGTAGCGAATTATTGTCTGTCAGATGCATATTCCCCGCCACCTTTGATCGGGCGTTCTTGTGTACTAAAAAGAGATTTGCACTAATCTCTTCATAAATCAAAAATATGAATTTCTTCTGACCAGACCAGACTTAGACAGACCAGATTTTCATAGTTATAAAATACATAGAGATCAAACATTTACCAGACATGACCTTGACTTTGACAAGACTCTAACACACCGGACCAGATCAACAAATTTTGGTCCAAAAGAAAGTATTCTACATTAAACTTTTTAGGCTAAAGGGTCAAATAGGTCCGTGTACTAGTCGTGTAAGCTCAATTCAGTCTCTGAACTAAAAAAAATTCAATTCACACCCCGAACCAACAAAAAGTGGTTCAAATGTCATTTTTTACGGGTAAACAACCGATTATTTTTTTAAAATTTTAATTGTTTCTATTTTTTATGTTCGATTTATTGCAATTTTGACACTTTTTAATAGTTTAGGGGTGCGAATTGGATCCTTTTTACCGGTTCCTTAACCTTAAAATATGAAATTTGAACCCTTTGTTGTCGGTCCGGGATGTGAATTGGACCTTTTTTTAGTTCAGGACTGAATTGAGCCTGCATGATCCGTTCAAGGACCTATTTGATCCTTTAGTCAACGGAGTGGGAGTATTATTTTTTTCACACGGCTAGTCAAAACTGACAGGCTGTAATTTGAAATTGTATAGCTGAAATGATGAACCTATTCAATGATGAAGTATTTATTATATTCAAGATCGAAATGCTAAATACGTACTCCCTCCGGTTCTTATTAAAGTTCCCAGTTTGACTTCACACATATTAAGAAAATGAATTTGACTTTACTGTGGAGTGCACTGTTTGGCACTGTTTGGACACTGTTTGGCACTGTTTTGCATTGTTTTGTTTCCTAAAATGGAAGTGTGAACTTAAATAAGGGACATCCCAAAAAGGAAAGTGGGAACTTTAATAAGAACCGGAGGGAGTAGTAAAGAACAAAACAGGTTGGGTTTAAGAGCCGTGTGATATAAAACTGTTCAACTGATTGATGTGAAAATTATCTTGGGCCTTTAATTATTCACAACCGAGAAATGAACAAATTAATGTCCAGTAAAATACGCCTCATAACCAAAAGAAAAGTTGTCCTATAGGAAATTTCAAAATAGTGTCTTTTTCTCGGAGTAGATCCTCACAATTTTGAAAAATATTGGCAGGATTGAAAAATATATTGTCATTATTGATAATAAATATTGTTGTGTTGAATGTCTTAACTTACTGCAACTATTTGACAATAATGACTACAACATGACAATAAATATTGTCATGCTACTCATATCTCGAGAAGAAAAACATATACTCCTTCCGTCTTGAAAGGTTCGCCAAATTGACTTTTCTTGGTGAATGACAAACAAATTTGACCAATGATATTTTTTAATTCAAAATTATTTTGAATATGAAAATTATATCAAAATGTTGATTATCATAAAAGTATAAAATTTATAATTTATAAACAAATATAATAATTAATCATTGTCCAAAGTTTAACATCATTGACCATTAAAAGTTAATATGACGAAACTTTTCAGGACGAGGTAGTATAACAATGACATTTAGAAATAAATTCCAAAACTAGTTTATTTCTATATGGGTAAATTCCCCAAGCAAAACAATGATATTGTGATATACCAAATGGGAAAATATAATCTGTAAATTGATTTATTCCCTTCAACTTGTATTTTAAATAACGTACTCTTATTTTAACTTGAAATGAAGGGCATGACAAGAACTTTTTGAAACTTGGGGTAAGCTGAGGCCTAGCATTGTCCCTACTTCCGCCCTTACTTGAAAAATGTTTGATAGAGTAAAATGCTGCGATTGGAATTTGTTTCAAATAGCTAGAAAGAGTAACTATTTGCTTAAATGAAACTTTATTTAGAACTGGTTTGGAGATTATTGAAGAATCCGTTTGGTAATCCTACTACTTTTGGTTTAATATTAAACTTTTATATGAAATACTTATTTTTTTTTAATAATGATAAAACTGCCTTTCTCAATGATGCATCCAAAACTTCAAATTTCAAATGATTTAACTGATTCAATCAATTTTTCGTGAGGCCATCAGGCTCAGTACTACCAAATGAGCTTTAACGCTAGATTGATAATATAGAAAATGTTGAAATTGACTGAAATTGCATTTCAAATAATTGAATCAGCTGGCTGCATTCCATCATGGAAAAAAATGGAGTATTATCCTTGAGTACATTTGAAATGGAGTATTTACAATTTTACATATGTTTTTTTCTTTGATTCAAATGGTGGAATCTTTCATCGGGAGGCCCACGCCCCGACCCGATAGGGAGGCCCATACATCGTGTGAAACTCATTTGAGAAAACGTAACCTTCACACGTGGGTGCGGGATTCCATGTGTTTTTTTTTCTGGGATGAGGGAAGATAACCCGGTATTAAAAATAGTCCGTAATGAAAAGTTGACAATCAAAGTTAAAAAATTGCGTGTTTTTGGTTAAAACGTTGGGCCCGCAAGATGAAACATTTAGAAGTGTGTGTTTAGGGCAGTGATATGACTTAACACGTACGTACGTAGGTAGCCAATAATGATAAAGGGGAAGGGGCAGACGGCAAACAATAATTGAATCATAAAGGAAATTGGGGTCCAAAGTTTGGGAGAAATAATAAATGCATATTAATTAATTAATTAATTAAAAGAAATGGAAAAGAATTGGGCGGGTAAATGTACGTACGAAGATTTCAGCGACGGAGGAGAAAGCTATGGTCCAGAATCGGCCGAGGTAAGAGTCCGAAAGGAAGGCCCCGAAGAGAGGGATGAAGCTGGTGACAGCGGACCAGATGCTCATCATGTTGGAGGCGGCGACGATGTCCATGTGATATACTGTGAGCAAGAACACTGAGAAGTTGGCCATCAACCCCGACGATGCCAGTCTCTCAAATGTCTCGTTCCCTAGAACGTATGGCATGGCTCTCCATCCGCCAGGCCGCCGCCGCCGCGACGCCTTCTTCTCAGAACTTGAAATTGCCGCGCTCTCACCATTTTCCTCCATCTTAGCTTAGCTTAGCTACCTACGTGCCGCCCGCCCTTTTCTCATTCTGCTTCATTCCATTCTATTCTATTTATACTCACGCCTCACGCGCCCACTGCCTTTTTTCACCCACCAACTCTCCTCCTTTTTATTTACTTATCGCTCGCGCAATGCACTACGGATATATTTCAGTGTTATTTTATATATTTTTTATTTTTGTTTATAGAAAAAAATATATAAATAACGTATACGCCCTAACTTTGATTATGAAATGCTATTTTATAGGCAAAATAAAAATGGATCATCGCAAATCTTTCAAATAAAAGAAAAATAAGTATATATACTATCTTCGTCCCTAAATAAAAGTTCACATTTTCTTTTCGGGCTGTTCCAAAATAAAAATCCTCTTTTTTTGCAAACAAAACATTGCAAAGCAATCCCAAATAGTGTCAAACAGTATCCAAACACCGCCAAACAATGTCAAAGAATCTCACTTTCTTAAATTATGTGTAAAAAGAATAGGGGCTTTTATATATGGACGGAGGAAGTACTACGGATGATGTACAAATATATTTACATTTATGTCCTCCAAAACTTGTGGCAACTTTGCTATTTAATGCTATTTAATATTTACTTAAAGTATATAACTCGTTTGTTGACCCTGTTTTTTTGGCTTATCAGACTTGTCAGCCAACTTTTTCGTCAAACACGTAACTTTTGATTTCGCGCGTTGAACCGTGTAATAATGAAAAAAAAGTAAGGTTAGAGTTATTTTTCTGTCTGTATTGGCTGAAGTTACTCCTAAGACCATTTAAGTTTAGCAATTCTTTCATATAAGTTTTTATTTATTTTATTAATAAAAAATATTTTAAATATAATTTTTTCATAAATCAGCGGAATGAATTTTAAATATTGTTTTTCCATAAATAAAACTCTATCCCATAACATAATTTAAAACTATATCCCATAACATGAATTAGCTACACAATATTGATTTACTATCATTATTATTACTATTATTGTATCAATCAAGTTCGTTTTCAATTCTTATTTTTGTAGTAAGTAAACCTACTATTTTCGTTCTTGAGAAGTTTATTTCTATTGGAAATTTGAAGTGTGCTTTTTTATATGTGATATTTTCTATCTTCCAAAAAAATTTGTGTGATATTTTCTAATAAAAGATTTACATATTAACTATTGTTGAATGAGATTTTTCCTAAATGTTATTAAAATCAAATTTACTAATGAAAGTATGACTAAAGTTAGTATAAGAATAAAATTAAAGTCATTTACATATAAAATTTTAATATAAAAGTAGTCACTAAAAATTGATACTATAGTCAGTGCACTTGAGGAGTCATTTTTTTGTTCACCATCTTTACTTTAGTTATAAGTATGTCATTATAGTTTAAGTAATAGCCCTAGGAAAAAAATAAAATTATTAGTAAAAAACTGAAACGCCTTTTCACGTTTAGGCCTCGCCTAAACCCGCCTAGGTTTTAAAGGCTCCGGACTTGGTCGTGTTGTCTCGACACGCCTTACGACCTTTAGAACATTGGGGAATGTGTATTATTGGGGAATGTGTATTATTGGAAATAGGATCTTCTAAAGTACGTAAAAGAAGATCTTCAGGAATTTCAATAGTAAGAAAGCCGTCATTTGGATCTGCGGCTAAACAATCGCCAATAGAAGCTATCCATTCAGAGAACTCCTTGATTGCTTCATGAATTGCTGCATGATTCGGATCTTCCAATCTCATGTTCTTGGTCAATCTCAATACTTCACAATGATGCCATAGGTAAGAAGAATTAATGGTAGCATTTACAATATCCTGACGACTGCCTTGTGGAATATATAACAGGCAAAATCTCTCGAAAATCTCCATAAAAAACAATTACTTTACCTCCATTTGTAATATTCGATAATCGAATATGATACTAAGTTTTATTAGCGTCAAGAAAACTACTCTCAATAGTAAAGAGATTTCTCATTCTTGGCAGAAAAGTGTGACCAAGTCATCAATATTCATCATTGTCACTATTCATTTTTTCTGCATTCGACATAAATAAATAGCTAGAGATAATAATGCAGAAAAATAATACAGTCTCATGTTATCGACATGGGATGCACTCCAAAACTTAAATTGATCGATACAATCCCATTTTGCAAGGACACTACTATATCATACGATGCAGAAAAACATTTAAATACTTCTAAGGGGGTATTTCGAATTAATTCTACTTCTGCTTCTTGTAAGGAATAATTGTATTTAGATTTTGATGATGTTATATTTATTAGGACCTTAGAGTACCCCTTTTAGAAATTATGTATTAGAATTATCCCCTGTAAAGTTCTTAGCATAATCGACTACCAGAAGGCCTCTCTACCAGAAGACCTCCGGACAGAAGATTTTGGTTCTCTGTCTAGGAACAGAAAACCTCAGGGTCTCTGTTACCCTTTAAGCTTGACAGAAACCCTCTTGGTTCTCTGTAAGCTACTATCAACAGAAGTGCTCAAGATCTTCTCTGATCAGTTCTCTGCCAAAGACACCAGAAGATCTGACACTTGGAAGAAATCCACAAAGCCGGGAAGTCAACTAAAAGATTCCTTCAACGGCTAGGAGTATAAAACGGAAAAGCTACAGTGCTCGCATTAAATGCTCATTTAATGCTCCCCATGCTTCGTGGAGTAATTGCAGATGATTGGCCGCAATGTCAGGATTACTTTATCCCAAAATAGTAACCCGCCAACTTTACCGGGTCCTACTGGTCAAGTCAATTGCTCGCGCATTAAATGCAGTTGTCCTCCTACTCCTCCAACGGGAAGACAACCTCAGTATAAAAAGATACACTACGAAGAACAACCGGATAACTTTGCCAAGATAATTTTTGCAAGTTTTGCTAACCATTGCTACAAACAAGATATTCAAACTCTGAAAAGCAAAAAGCCTCCTTGAGATTCAAACTCATTATCTTCTACAAGAGAAGGCAGAAGTTGGAAAAATACTCTTTCCAACTCAAGCAAAGTTCCAAGTGTTCTTCAACTCTTCAAGCTCATCACATACAAATCTTTTGTAACGAAGCTAGTTGGAGGAACCCCTGTTTCAACAGAAACTCTTCTTGCTACAAGAAGGACGTCCAAATAACTGGAGTAGTGAAGTGGTGATACTTCAAGGAAACTCAGTGAAAGGACCAGTGTTAAAGGAAGCCAGGCAGTGCATCCCAGGACACATCTAGGCTTGAAGAAGACGTGGAGTGCTTCTTAAGTACTAGGACTAAGGCTTTGTAAACGGCAATTTTTACAGCTTAGTGGAACAGTGGATTAGAGGAACGAGTTGTTCCTTGAACCACTATAAAAATCCCTGGTGTCGTTTACTTACTGCTTTTAATACTTGCACTTAGATAGAACTGTCTAACTCCTTGGACTTGGTATCTGTGTTCAGCAGAACTTGTTCTACGAGTTAACAGAAGGCCTACTGCCTTTGCTTCTCTGAGGCTAACAGAACTCCCTGCCAGAACCCCATCCGCTGCCAGTCTGTTCTTTCAACAGAACAGGCTATTCTGTAAATCTGGTACTTAGTTTAAAAAGCTAAAAACCAATACAGTCTATTCACCCCCCCTCTAGACTGTATCCAGTATAACCGGGACCAACACTTCTTTTTTTGAAAACATAAGCAGAATCAGAAACAGTTTATCAGAAGCTGCCCCCCCCTAACTTATTAAAAATTGCTTCTAAGAGCAATTTGGAGCACTCATGTCACGCCCCGGACCTACCCGGACTCGTCCGACCCATGTCTCCCACCTATCTATTAGCAAGTCCATGTGGTCGGGCATCTATCCTTAGACTAGAGCCGAGCCATGACCCTTACTACCAATCAAACAATCAATTATGGGCGTCCTAAAGACCACCCGGAAAATAACATCAACATTCCAATCCTAGGATCCTAAACCTAGGGTCAATTTTATTAATGTTCATACTACAACCTCGGACTAGTCACTTAGTAGTACTACCCGAGTTGTTCCTAGTTCAACTTGTCTTCCCCTATCAAACGAACATGGCGGGCATGCCATGACTCATTCTCACTTCACTATATATTGACTTTACTAACCATAAAGTCAATACAATTAATTAGTGATTACTAAATCATTTTATCAATTCTTCACTAAATCAACTTGAACAACATCTCAATATAGCAAGTAAACATGCAACTAAATCATGTTTTTGTTTTTGCAACACAAAAACAGCACCCTTCTATGGCGGTTTGCGTCAGTTTAAACTCCTATCGATTCAACGACTCTTCTAAGTTAAATACCAACACTTTACAACCTTTTTCTACACTTATAAACGTGTAGAACAACATCTATAATCCATCAAATGAATCAAACAAATCCATATATACAAAGTATATAAAATGGAAGAAATTGAACCAGGAGTATAGAGTTGTTACCGCTAGTTCATGTTCTTCTTTTCCGGAATCATTTTTCTTTCTTCTTCTCTTTTTTCCTTGTTCTTAGAAACTTGGTTGAGCTCTCTTATCCCCCTCTTAGCTCTTACGCATGTATCCTCCAAATCAGAGGAGGAGGTTGGTCACACTCTCACTTATCCTTCTAAAATGGGAAAGTTGGGCTTCGGATCACTTGGGCTTCCATTCCATACTAATTCGGCCCACCCGAGTTTTATACCTTGATTTATATTGGGCTATTAAATATTAATAGGTTGGACCCAAAATATATTGGTTAGTTGTAACACCGTCCCCAAATGTATTTACTTTTTAGTAAATCATGTAATAAATCTTGAATATTGATTTATGAATTTACGTGGTTGTAAATTTTTGGTTATTTCTTTCGCGTGAATAGTGAACTGCACGTGGGGCCCACACCGGGAGTGGGGACCGCCCGGTAAACCCGGGACCACATATTATATTCATCTTGATCTAGATAGTATTTATATGATGATATATATATTTTAGTTGGGCCATAGAAAGGGCTTAGGGTTGACCCGTCGGTAAAACGAAGCCCCATTACCGGTATTGGTAATTTACCGTATAACAGTCCGAATTGAATTTAGGAGACTTCTAAATTAAAGTTGGGGAATCTACAATTATTCTAAAGGTCCATAGTGATTGAAATCACACAATATATTTTATTTGGCCCGATAAAATAAAATATAATTAAAAGAGTCCGAAAAATACAATTTTCGGGGCCGATTGTGCATTTCGGGACACAAAGGGATGACCTCCCACATGAGTGGGGGCCACCCCACATTTTTATGAGCTGGGATAGACAAGGAAAGGGGCTGGTTGACTTGTAATGGAAGAGGGTGAGGTGATGAGCATCAAAGGTACACCCATGGACCCCATTTCTCCCCACTCATTGTCCAAGCAAGACAAAAGAGCCAACTCCAACCCCCCTCATCCCATTATTTCGGCCAGAGCATCAAAGAAGAGAGATAGAAAGCTCCAAGATCATACTCCATTGTTGTAGCTCAAGCTCAAGCAAGAGTGATTCAAAAGGAGGAGTTTTAAGAGGGAAAAAGGGAGGAAAAACTTGGATAATTAAGGTAATGACCTTATACTAACCTTTCCTCTATTTGTTATTTATCATATGATTTATATATCATATGGAGGACTCCTAGAATCATTTTACACATTTAGAAGTGTAGAATTGGAGGTTAGAAGGTAGTTCTAAGTCCAAGAACGGACTTAGAAGCCAAAATGACGGGTTCGCCGGAAAATAACCTTTTAGGGGTTGTTTAAGTTGATATGGGTTTTGTAATGATAAAAACATGTTAGGAGCTTGACTAAAGTGGTTCTAGATTTCGCCGGAGTTTCGCCGGAGTTTCACCGAAGTTCACCGGAGTCTCGCCGGAGTTCAACTAAGAAGAGTAGAATCTTCCTAAAGCTCATTTGAGGTGAGTGGACGGCTTAATATCTTATAACTTTTGGGTTAATTATGAGATTACCTAAATAAATGTTATATGTATTCATAATGATATTTAAAGGATGTTTAAACATGTGATTAGCCAAAATGATTAGGCTTGTATGAAATGAATTATTTGAATATACATAGAGTATGATGTGAGAATTTCTATGAAATTACATGCTATGTATTAAAGGGTAAAGGAAGCCTAGAATGAATATTATTGACTTAATATACATGATGATTGAGTTGATATGTACAAGGTTTGAAATGGCGGTCAACGAAAACGTTGACCGATGGATAATGGATTAATTAATACCGGTTGGTATTAGTTAATTACAAACTTATATAAACACATGGCTTGCATGAGTTGAGATACATAAGCTTTATGGATTGATTTAGCTATGAATGAATAAATATGATATAGACTCTATCTAGGTTGATAGGAGCTTGATCATAGGATTATATATTGGTGGAGGACCCTAGGACTTAAAGTCCTTAACACTCAAATTACATGTTGGTGGAGGACCCTAGGACTTAAAGTCCTTAACACTCAAATTATATATTGGTGGAGGACCCTAGAACTTAAAGTTCTTAACACTCGGATTATATATTGGTGGAGGACCCTAGGACTTAAAGTCCTTAACACTCAAATATATATATTGGTGGAGGACCCTAGAACTTAACGTTCTTAACACTCGGATTATATATTGGTGGAGGACCCTAGGACTAAAAGTCCTTAACACTCAAATATAAATTGGTGGAGTACCCAAGGATTTTGATCCTCAAAACTCATAGATTATGATATTGAAATATGGACAAGGAGGAGTCCTATACACTCATAGGTATATGGGTCGGGTATTTTCCAAGTGTATATATATACTATTAAGTATTTCTTAACTTGGGGGAAAGTACTATTTATATAAGTATCACCCTACGTTTGGGTCTTATACTTGAAACGCTAGTTATTCTATATTTAGCCTGCTACTCGCTCGGTACTTGTACTGACCCCTTCAGGGGGGCCCACCATTTTCAGGTTGAGGCTAGGGCTTGCTACCTGCACCTTTCTACGGGTGACATCAAATCAAGGAAGACGTGGTTCGTGCTTCATCGTTTTCTTTCAAATTACCAAACATTGCTCATGGATACTTTTATTTATTATAAACTACTTTTGGGTTTGCATGCCCATGTTATTGGCCGAATGTGGCCTATGAAGTACCGCTGAATATTTCCGCTATTCAATGGTTTAATTGTGATGTTTGTTATGTATGTTTACTACTGAGGATGGATGGATTGTTTTCTCGAACGCCTTGTATGATTAAGCGAGGTTGACCTGCGCGTGACGTCACTTGATTATACGGCGGTTGTACACGCGCTTAGATTGCAGTCTGGGCATGACAATTAAGTGGTATCAGAGCCATCTCAGTTCTAAACTATGTAATCAACCTCTCACGAGAGATTATGCAAAAAGGAATTTTTACCGAAACCCATGAGCATTGTATTTTGACGTTCATAGAACTATTGTTACCTAGGTTGCAAGGTCTCTAATTGTTAAGATGGTACCCTTAACAATTGGTATGACGGTGACTTGGGCCAATACGTGTCTATAACGTTCTTCCGTCAATTGACATTGATAGGAGTCTAACGACTCGTCCAAATCTTATTTCAGAAATGGAGGGTAGGTGAATGGCAACGAGGAATAATCCGAGGGGGCAGGTACCGGGGTAACATCCATGAGGGGTAGCTGGGCTGCATCTCGGGGGAGAAGAGGAGGCCGAGTAGGCCGTGGTGGGCCACCGGGCCCAAACAGTGTGCAACGGCCACATAAGCTCTGTGTTTGAAACTAACACTGAGGACTATGACTCGACTTTTGTTCCCGGCACGGAGCATGAGGAGACCCCGTATGACGGGGGTGACTTCCACACTGATGAGGAAGACAACGATGAGAGTGATGCCCGATTCGCTCAAATGGGCGAATTGCTTGAGTGGTATCAAAAAGAGAAACCAAGGAGAGACATTAAGCGCCAAGCAAGGCACGACTCTCGTGGTGGTTCGGTTCAAGGAAGCCGGGGAGCTTCAAGGGCCACTCCAGCGGCATCACACGGTGGGCGTGAAGGAGGGTTTTGTGTGAGAATCTCCAAGTACCTCAAGGAGGCTAGGTCCTTGGGGTGTAAATCCTTTGACGACACCGGTGACATTACCGTTGCCGCTGATTGGATCAAGAAAGTGAAGGATGCATCAAGGGATATGCAGGTCACACCCGATGTGAAGTTGACTGTTGCTTCACGTTTGCTTGAAGGAATCGCTTCTACATGGTGGGAGAGTGTAGAAGGAAAGTACCAGGGGGCATCACATGGGCGAACTTCGAGCAGGAGTTCTACGCCTAATACTACTCCGATTACGAGGTTAATGTCAAGCGTAGGGAGTACACCAACCTTAAACAGAAGGAGGGCGGTTCTGTCAAGCAATTGGAGCAAGATTTTAGAACCTGGGCTAGGTTCTTACCGGAATATGCGATCGATGAGGACCGCATGTCGGAACACTTTTGGGACGCCTTACTCCTGGACATCCGCGACCGAGCTACGTACTCTCGTCATATGACGTTTAGCGAGGTGGTGGAACAGGGCCTACTTGGGGAGGCTCAGTGGAATGAGAGGAAAGAAAGAGACGCCGAAGAGGCGAAAAAGAGAAAGTGGCATAGTTCGAGGCTGCCCGAGCAATCACGAAAGAATAACCACGGTGTAGGTAGTGGTTCGTTCAAGACGCCGGCACCACCGGCAAAGAAGAACATGGATGCTCGGTGGCACTCATCCTTCTCTCGAAATACGGGACCTCCTAGGTGTGCCAACTGTTCGAAGAATCACTTCGGGAAGTGCCACGCACCCCCGAGGTGTTATCAGTGTGGGAACACAGGCCACATAAAGGCTAATTGCCCAAAATTGGGGGGAGGAGGAGCTCCCGGGTCCGGAGGAGGTGCTTTGACGAGTAGAAACCGTACAGGGCCGTCAAACGGCGGCACGGGAAGAGGTGGTGCATCAACGAGCCATGCCGCGTCCGTTAACCAAGGCGGGGCCCAAGCAAGGGTCTACGCGATGACCAAGGCCGATGCTCGGTCCAACCTTGACTCCGTTGCAGGTAATCCATTGCTAATTCTTGATAAAATACGTGTATTAATGTGTTAGAAGTGATAGTGGGGTTGTACGGGCCGGCCGGCAACCTTACCGGCCGGTTTCTAAGTAAAAGGAGCAAAAACACTAAACGGAGAGGCTGCCCAGGGGGAGACCGGTGCCGGTTCCCAGCCAACTGGCGCCGTTCTTAGCGTCCAAAACCCTACTGGCACCCACGCACGCGTGCGTGGGAAGGGACGCACGCGTGCGTCCCCCGTTTTTGGGCCAACCGGCGCCGTTCGTTGCGTTAAAACACTCCGTTACCCTACTTCCACCCACGCACGCACGCGTGGGAAAGGATGCACACGTGCGTACCCCATTTCCGACAACAACAAAAAAATCGGCCCAACCGGTGCCGGTTAGGCCCAGAACCGGCGCCGGTCCAGTACAACTTAAAAAACAATTATTAGCTCGTTTTTGATTTGGTACTTCGGGTAGGGTGTCTTACATCATTTGTAAATGTAGGAACACTCTTGATCAATGGAAGAAATGCAAGATTTCTCATTGATACCGGAGCGCAACGTTCTTTTGTGAGCGAAGCGTTTGCCGAAGGTCTTGACGTGCCATTGACGCCGATGACTCAGACCTTGATAGTCTCCACACCGTTAGGAGATGATGTGGAGAGGGACCATTATTATGAATCGTGTGAGGTAGAAGTGATGGGTCAACCTTTGACTTGTGATTTCGTACCTCTAAGTATGTTGGAGTTTTATGCGATCCTAGGGATGGTTTGGCTCGAAAAGCATCATGCTAGAGTTGTGATGGATAGTCTACCCGGGGGTATATATCCGAGGGGTTATTGCGGGGAATAACTTAGAGAGAAGTCAGAGCAAGCAAGTAAATGTAGAGAGAGAGTGTATTCAGTATGAATGCCGTTTTCAGCGTGGTTACAAATGGGGAAATGGGGTGCTATTTATAGTAGCAATAAATGCCGGACAGGGACACGTGTCAAGCGCTCATTGGCCGAGGGGTCACCTCAACTGGTTGGCGCTGGCAGCCGCATGTGGCCGCATTTTATGCGACTGTTGGATGGGACGTCTGTGCAGGGTACGGTGATCTGTACGCATGTGAGGCGGATATCTTGTCGAGTGAGATGCCTTCGGCTATAGAGCAGTAGCCGAGGGCTCCTCCAACCGATGGCACCCTGGTGCCGAGGGCTCATAGTGCCGAGGGCTACTGTTTTTGCCGGTTTCTCCCAGTCTCTTAATTTGCTTGAGAAACCCGTTCTGTGAGAGTTTAGAGCCTTCGGCCAGGGGGCCGAAGGCACCCCGCACGCGTAGTGTAGGCTGCTTGGTACTCTGGGCGCTGTGATTTGGGCCTGTTGGGCCTTCCGGGGCTGTTGGGCCTTCGCTGGAGTAGTAGGAGTCTGTGGGCCGGGGGTTCCCGGGCCATATACTCCATCAGGAGTCCCTCACTCCTTTTGCCGAAAGGTACTTGAGGGAAAAGGAGTAATTTGTGCTTGCCCTTTGACGTTGTCCTGTCGTAACCTCTGAAGTTGGTGAGGAGTTGTGGCTTTTATGTCCCTGCCGAAGGCAGTCCCTCAGTTACCCACATGTCAGGACTTGAGGGCTTGCTTTGTCGTTTGTTGGAATTTCACTAATTTTGTAATTTAATGATTTTCCCGAGGGGGTCCTCCAGTCCCCCACTCCTTGAGGCACTTGTAAAGTGGTGAAAAGGAGTAGAGTAGTTGCGTTGCTGTTATGGGCCGAAGGCTGACGCTTTTCGTTTCATTTTGGGGGGATGCCTCGTTAAAAACCTCATTAGGAAAAACCCTGGGGGAAAAAATCCTAATGAGGGAAAAAGAGTGCACCGAATTCCCCCAATGATGAATCGAAAATGTGGAACCTTGGTCAAAAATGGAGAACAACGGTAATGCCGAAGGCTCTTCCTTGTTCTGAGGGCTCATGTGTTGATTAGCCGAAGGCTTGCTGTTGATGTCCTGGTGGCGCCGAAGGGGAGCCCCTCAATCCGGGGATCGAGGGCCTGCCGGATGAGGGCAGCAGTGGAGTTGTTACCGGGGGGTCCACTGTTTGTTGATTAGTTGGTGATGAAGATACCCGAGGGCTCCCATTACCTGCGTGCCTTGGGTTATCCGTCAATGAGGCAACTCCCCGGGGGCTACCCCGGTTTTGCAGTGCTGAGGGGGAATTCCCGAGGGGTGCCCTGATATGAAGCCTTGGGTTTCTGAAGGAGTGATCCCGAAGGCATCTGCTATGTGCTGTGTGGGGCACAAACTGGGGGCGTCTCTGGGTAAGTGTACCCGGAGGCTCTCCTTGATGTAGCGGAGTGGAGTAGAAAACCCGGGGGCTTCCAGAATATAGCCGTTGGAAATATAGCCGTTGGAATATGTAACGTCAGGTTTATAGCCGTTGGGGGGGGGGTACACGTGGCATGTAGCCATTGGCTGCTCGCGGGCGGGCGTCACCGGTTGGGTGAAACGACGGTGTGTAATGATGGCGGTCCATCCGGGGGCCCGGAATCCAGGCCCAAGCCCGGATTTCGGCGCCTATAAATACCCCAAGGCCAGGGCCATTCCCCGCTGTGCGAACTCAGTGTAGCGAAGCTCTGGCAAAATTTCTAGAGAGAGAAACTCAAGCCTTCGGTAAAAACTCAGCTTTCAAGGTCAGTTCCCCCCCCCCACCTTTCTCCTTCTAGTTTAGCTGTGCCTTGTGCCCCTAGGTTAGGAGATAGAATTTCCTAGGAAACCTTAGTTTTCCTGAGCCTTCGAATTAGTGAGCAGATGTCATCACAGAGCGACTCCCAGGATATCTCGGGGGAGCCTTCGGTAGAGATGGAGACATGCTCAGATGTGGAATCTTCGAGCGTGGAGTCCTCGGCGGGTGGTGATGCCGCAGTGGCCATGGAAGTGGAGAAGGACCTACAGGCCAAAGTCGAAGCCGAGGGCTTCGAGCAAGAAAACGAGGATGAAGAGCTTGCCCTCGCCGTGCAAACCGCCGAGCAAGAAGAGGAGAGGGAGAGGCTGAAGGTGACGGTTGCCATTCCTCCCCCCGGGGTGCCGGGGAAGCCAGCTCCTCCCGGCCATTGGATCCGACGCCCATAACTGTGGCTCCCAGGAAGAAAAACAAGACGAAGGCGGCCCCAAAGAAGAAGCAAGCGGCAGTTGATGCTGGGCGACCGGTGGGCATACCCGAGGGCCATTCGTTCCTGAATACTGCCGCTCTAGAGCTGAAGACGAAGGCGTCCCCGGCAGAATACCAGTCCACCCATATGCTGGTTGGACCTTCGGCGCGCGTGGTGGAGCCCAGGGCAGATGATTTGCTGCGATATGCGCCCGAGGGGTGTTTTGCTGCTCACACCCTCTCGGTGGAGATGGGGCTTCGGTTCCCGCTCCATCCTTTTCTCTTGGAGTATCTGAGATTCGTGGGGCTGGCCCCTTGCCAGCTAACGCCCAACAGCCACTCCTATGTGGCCGGCTTCCTCTCCTTGTGTCAGAGCCGGGGGGTCGAGCCCACACTTGATCAATTCTTTATGTCCTTCAACCTCTGTCGGGGGGGACATTCAAATGCTGAGGGCTTTGCCAACCTTCAGCAGGTACCGGAGTTCCGGCTTTTTGATGATGTGCCCTCGTCTCACAAGGGGTGGAAGGAGAGGTTCTGCTACATCTGCCTCGAGGAGAACCCCTTCCCGGCCCAGCTCCGTAATAGCTTCCGGCGCCATCCGAAGGTGGGGAGCGCAGCTTTGGAGAAGAACGGCAAAGTGCTTGCCAAGAAGCCGGAGGGGTCTGACAAGCATGTCAAGATCAGAGAAGTCACCCTCCCGGAGGATTTGCTTAGCCTGGGCTTCCGGCAGTTCAGGCCGAGGGGCTCTTCGGATGAGAGATATCCTCCCCTCGATCGGGTCTTCGAAGGCGCTGGAGGTGATCACCGAATTGTTCACTGATGCGTTGATAGTTCTCTCTTATTCCCCATTTTTTTATGACATAGTAACTGGTAGCCTTCGATCTAACCCTCCTGTGTTTTTTCTGTTGCTTGCAGGTAACAATATGGACGTCGGTTCCCTCTTCGCCCTGAAGAACGCGAAGGGGAAGAAGAAGGCCCCGGGGGGCGCTCCTGCCAGGGAGGGGCCCTCTCAAACTGCTGGCGCCGCTGCTGGCGCCGGAGGGTCCAAGGGTGCTGGGCCCGTCAAAAAGAAGATTGCTGGAAAGGGGACCAAGCCCCCGGCCAAGAAGCCGAAGACCACCGCCCCTACCAAACAACCGATCACCGATGTGGTGGTGATTGTGGACGAAGGGCACGCTTCTGCCTCCACCCCCCAGGAACAAATCAATCAGGAGTTCTTTGGGCGGGAGAGGTTGGAGGCGTTAGTACCGAAGGGGGCCTCCGTGTTGGAGGGCAGTTTGAACCCTTCGGCTCTGATGAGCCAGATGCTGCCGTCGGCCGACCGACTGGCCCTTGCCCGGCTGGACGAGGGATCCCTCGAGGCGAAGGTCCTCCTGAATGCTGCCTCCGTAAGTCACCCTCCCTTCTTTGCTCATTGTTATGTTTTCCTTCTGTACTATGTTCATTATGCCTTATTCTTGCCTTCGTGAATTGCAGACTTTTATGGGCCTCTGCGAGCACCTCCGAAGGGTGGATCAAATGAGGGAGGCCAAGGGTGCCGCCGAGGGGGAGGCCGCCCTCCTCAGGAAGAAGCTTGCTGAAGCCGAGGACTCTCTCCGTCTGGCCACTGACGGCATGGAGCAGAGGGTGCAAGCTGCAAGGGCCGAAGGGGTCAATGAGGGGCTAGCCAGGGCCGGGGAGGCCGCCGCCGAGGCCGCCCGTATTGCTGCCGATGAAGCCCGCGTGGCTCAAGAAGAGGCCGTCTCCAAGGCCCGAGAGGATGCGGTGACCAGCTTCACGGCCGAAGGGTGGAAGGCCGAAGACCGGAGGGAGTGGCTCGCTTCGGTGGTGGGGGCTTCAGTAGACGAGTGGGTCGGGGGCCCCGGAAAGATGTGGCTTGCTGAGAGGAGCGACTCGTACTACCAAGGCGGGGAGTTCTTCACCCAACGCCTCATCTACCGGAAGCTTGCAAAGCACTTTCAGGTTGCACCGGAGGAGTTCCGTCCCGAGGCTTATGGCCTCCCCCCCGCCAGCCAGATGTCAGGATCCCGCTCCCCGAGGGGGAAGAGAGACCGGTTCTTGAAGACTCGGAGACCCTCCGGGAGTGCGGCCTTGGGGGTGAAGAAGATGAAGCCGAGAGCGAGGCGATGTCCACAGTACCCCCTTCTTGAATTGTATTCCCCCCTTTTGTGTTGTAATTGTTGGCCTCGGCCTCCTTTGTAACAGTGCAATTAAACTTCCTTTTTTTGAATGAATGAGTACATATGCCCTCGGGCCTTTTGACATATAACATGCTTCCTTTTGATTTGTTCATTGTCGAATATATGCCTTCGTCTTGCTTTGGATGTATGCCTTTGTTCCTTTGAATGTATGTTTTAGGACTTAGAATATTTTCTGATCGTAGCTTGCCCTTGGAAGCCTTCGGTAGTTGGGCACCCTCTGCTGGATATGCAACCGAGGGTTCAACATCAATTAGGACTTAGAAAATTTTTCTAAGTGTAGCACACTATAGGGCCTTCGGGTGTTTGTAGTAACCCAATTCCAAGGTCTTAGAAAAATTTCCAAGTGTAGGTTTTCCCTTGGGAGCCTTCGGGATATGGCATCCCTTCCTGATGTGTGAATGTTGGACCGAGGGCCCAATGTACGGGACTTAGAAAATTTTTGCAAATGTAGTATGTCACGTAGCCTTCGGCTACTGTGGAGCCCCAACTGAAATATTGAATAGGCCGGGGGCCAATTCTTTAGGACTTAGAAAATTTTCTTGAGTGTTGATTTCTTGTGTACTGTAGCCTTCGATTGATAGGTAGCCTTCGGCAATTAGGTCCCTTGAGATGAGGGTGAAATATGTAGGACTTAGAAAATCTTCTAAGTGTAGAGTTTCCCTTGGGAGCCTTCGGGAGATGGCATCCCTTCATGATGTATGAGTAGTTGACCCGGGGGGGGGGGGAATATGCAGGACTTAGGAAATACCCTAAGTGTAGATTTTCCCTTGGGAGCCTTCGGGAGATGGCATCCCTTCATGATGTATGAGTAGTTGACCGGGGAAAAACATGTAGGACTTAGAAAATATTCTAAGTGTAGATTTTCCCTTGGGAGCCTTCGGGAGATGGCATCCCTTCTTGATGTATGGCCTTTGACTGTCATATTCCTTTAGCTGCAATACTGATTGAGCCGGGGGCCCAATTTTAGGACTTAGAATTTTTTTTGCAAGTGTAAAGTGATGTCAAGCTTCCAGGTGTAGAGCCCTCCGGATATATGAACGGGACCCTTCGGGTGATCGTGGGCCCCTTGAGTTGTTGTGGAATCCTGTTGTTGTGAAGAAAGCCAATGATGAGTGTGTGCCCTCGGCATACACTTTAAAAGTTGTAGATTTTGACCCTTGCTGAAGCCTTCGGTGCTTGTGTGACCGGAGGTGACCAGGCAGTGGACTTAGCCGTTTCTTGATGATATTTGTTTGAGTAGTGTCCTTCGGGAAATAGGAGCCTTCAGTTACCGGAGGTGTTCCCGTGGGGAGCCCTCGGCTTGTTGTGATCTGTTGGAGTGTACTTTTTGATTTCTCGCTGAGTCTACTCCCCTTCACCCCCTCTTTTTTTTTTTTTGGTTTGTGGTGAAGGGAAGGCATCAAGAAACTTGGTTTCTTGGTAAGGCTGGGCCTATTAGGAGACCATCAGAATACACCAATGGCTCTCCTCCCTCGGGTTAACCTTCCGAGTTCCGAGGGAATCGAGGGTCTTTTCCTGGGCACAAGATATGGTGGTCCGTAACCTGCCTCCCCTTGGGGGATGGCGCGGAAAGCGCCTCATTTTTGAAAGTCGTCCCCTCGGCGTTAGACATAGTCCGTGGCCTGTCACACCCTTGGGGTGGTGGCGCGGGGAGCGTTTCGGTTTGGAAGTCGAATCCTGGGCATTTCTCATGCCTGTCATACCCTGGGGGTAGTGACGCGGATAGTGTTCCGTTTTTGAAAGTCGAATCCTGGGCATTTCTCATGCCTGTCATACCCTGGGGGTAGTGACGCGGAAAGCGTTTCAAGGAAGGGTTTTCATTTGCACACTAGTTGCAAATGGCCGGGGGCACTACGTGCCACCGGCACCGATGGTGGCGCCTTCGGTATATGCGTCCTCGTGGGGTACGGCTTTTAGAAACAACACTTGGTGTTAGTTTCGATGTGTAGCCCCCGGTACTTGGTACCGAGGGGTCTTCTGTAGGAACACTTGGTGTTCTCCTTTGTTGCAGTTGATGGAGGTGTCTACCCTCGGTACTTGGTACCGAAGGGTCTTCAAATGAAACACTTGGTGTTTCCCAATAGATGTTTGGAAGTTGATAGGAGAGCATATCCCTGGCACTGGGTGCCGAGGGGTCTTCTTTGAAACACTTGGTGTTTTTTCTTCGTTTCGATGTTTGATGATGGGGATGTACCCTCGGCACTGGGTGCCGAAGGGAAATGAAACACATGGCGTTCCTTGTTGTTGGTGATAGGAGTTCCCTCCCTCGGTACTTGGTACCGAGGGGTCTTGACTGAAAACACGTGGTGTTTTCATTGTTGTTGTAGGTGTTGATGGTGTCCGCCCTCGGCACTTGGTGCCGGAGGGGGTTCTTCTCGTGGCGAGGCCGGGGGCCTGTAGTCAGTATGAGGGCTTGATGTCTTGAATGTATCTTCATTCTTCGAAATTGGAGGCCTTGGGCCATAGGATAGTACATTCACTAGTTATGAGGGCTTGGCCGCTCTTACATTATTGATAAAATCTAACTAAGTGGTGTACATTCCAGTGCCTAGGGACTTCTTTCCCGTTGGGGCGTTTGAGCTTGTAGGTCCCAGGTTTGATGATGGCTGCTATGATGTAGGGGCCTTCGAATTTTGGTGCCATTTTTCCTCCCTCGGTTGGTTGGCTGGCTTCCCTCCTCCGGAGGACATAGTCCCCCACTTAGAATTCTCTGGTGCGAACTTTGGCGTTGATGTAGCTTTTGACTTGCCTTCGGTAGTTCTCTGCTCGGATGAAGGCCTGCTCCCGGCGTTCTGAAATGAGGTGGAGGTCGAGGGCCATGTTGCTTTCGTTGACCTCGGGGTCATATTGGATCACCCTTCGGGTGGGAAGGGTGACTTCCGTAGGAGCTTTGGCTTCAAAACCGTAGCAGAGGGAGAAGGGTGTTTCACCTGTTGCTCGCCGAGGGGTGGTGCGGTAGGCCCACAGGATGTTGTGGAGTTCTTCCACCCAACCACCGCCTTCGGCCTCCAGCTTCTTTTTGAGGCCCTCGAGCAAGGTCCGGTTGGCGTTCTCTACTTGCCCGTTGCCCTGAGGGTAGGCAACGGAGGAGAAGGTGTGTTTGATGCCCCATGCCTCCAGAAGGGCACAGAAGGAGGCTGCCTCAAATTGTGTCCCATTGTCGGAGATGATCTGCTGGGGGACGCCAAACCTTGTGAGGATGTTCTTGAGGACGAAGTGATGGCACTTTGCCTCTGTGATGCTGGCGAGGGGTTCAGCCTCCACCCACTTGGTAAAGTAGTCGACGGCCACAATGATGTATCTGTTGTTGGAGGTACCCCTCGGAAGAGGGCCCACAAGGTCTATCCCCCATCGAGAAAAGGGGACAGAGGTGCTGATGGGGGCATAGTTGACCGCTGGCCTGCCGGGAGCTTTCTGGAAATGTTGACATGCGGTGCACCTCCGGGCAAGGTCGGCACAATCCCTGGCCATGGTTGGCCAGAAGTAGCCCTGGAGAATGAGCCTTCGGGACATGGAGAAGGGTCCCTGGTGAGCTGAGCAAGTGCCACTGTGCACTTCCTCCATTGCGGCCTCGGCTTCATCTGGATGAAGGCACCGCAGTAGCGTGCCATTGTAAGATCGTTTGTAGAGCCTTCCATCCTCGTTGGTGTAGCTAGGAGCCCTCAGCTTTGCCAGTTTAGCGCGGGTCTCATTCTCGGGTAGCTGCCCTGTGGAGATGAAGGTGGTGATATCTGAGATCCAATCCTCTTGGCGTTGTTGTATGTTCATAACGGGGCTTGCATGGATGCTTGAGAGGCTGAGTTCCTCAATTTTGGCAATTTTGGAGATGTGCTCGGGGGAGTCGGCCGAGAGCTTAGATAATATGTCGGCCTCGGAGTTCTGAGCCCTCGGTATTTGAGTGAGAGAGTGTGCCTCAAATACCTTAAGCAACTCCTTGGCCGCTTCCTTGTATTGTTTCATTCTTCCCTCCTTGGCCTCATATTCTTCGGAGATTTGGCCGACGACCAACTTGGAGTCGCATTTGATGTGGATCTGCCGAGCCCTCATGTTGGCAGCCAGCCGAAGGCCACATAGGAGGGCCTCATATTCGGCCTCGTTGTTGGAGACTTTGAAGGAGAAGCGGATTGCATAGTAGGCTCTGAAGCCCTCGGGAGTAATGAGGACTACCCCTCCCCCGCATGCTTTGGTCGCGGAGGAGCCGTCGGTGTAGAGGGTCCACCAGTCGTCCGTGGTAGCCGAGGGCTCCCCGTCCGTGGCTGCCCTTGCGGTACACTCCGTCACAAAGTCCGCCAGGGCTTGGCCCTTGATGGCAGGCCTTGGACGGATGTCAATGTTGTACTGGCTCAAGAAGATAGCCCATTTCACCATGCGGGAGGAGCTGGTGGGGCTCCTCATGAGGGCGCCGAGGGGTTGATGAGTGAGGACCTGAACCGGGTGAGCCTGAAAGTAGTGGCCCAACTTCTTGACAGTCCAAACGATGGCCAACATCATTTTTTCCACAGGGGAGTACCTGAGCTCGGCCTCCCTTAGGGTCTTGCTAACGTAGAAGATAGCATGTTGGATGCCGTCTTCCTCCCGAATGAGCACAGAGCTGATGGCCGCCGGGCTCACCCCAAGGTAGAGGTAGAGGGTCTCCCCTACCTTGGGTTTGGAGAGCACAGGAGGTGAAGATATATATCGTTTGAGCTCGTCGAAAGCCCCCTGGCATTCTGGAGTCCATAGTAAGCCAGCCGTCTTCCTCATGATCTGGAAGAAGGGTAGAGACTTCTCCGCCGATTTAGATAGAAAGCGGTTGAGGGCTGCCAGGCGGCCCGTCAACCGTTGAACTTCCTTCACATTGTGTGGGGGCTCCATGTTGATGATGGCCTGGATCTTCTCGGGATTGGCCTCAATACCCCTTCGGCTCACCATGTAGCCCAAGAACTTGCCCCCTTGGACGCCGAAGGTGCACTTCTTCGGGTTTAGCCGAAGGTTGAACTTTTGCATGATGGCGAAGATTTCGCGGAGGTCGTCAGCATGGCTGGAAGATTGCTTGCTTTTGACGATC